AATTATGGATTTATCATCCAGAAAATGTTTTGCACTGATAATAGGTTTACAACTATGCTTTTGTCAGAGCTAAGAAATTAATATGCACTATATTGTTTTATGAGCCCCTGGTGGTGTAGCGTTTAAACCACTGAGCCACTGCACTTGCTGACCAAAAGGCTGGTGGTTCAAATCTGGGGAGCAGGAATGAGCTCCCACTGTTAGCCCCAGCTTCTGCTAACCTAGCAGTTCGAAAACATACAAATGTGGGTAGATCAATAGGTACCGCTCCGTGCAGTTATGCCAGCCACGTGATCTTGGAGGTGTCTAAGGGCAACGCCGGCTCTTTGGCTTAGAAATAGAGAAGAGCACCACCCCCCCAGAGCTGGACATAACTAAGCTTAATGTCAGGGGGAAATCTTTATTCTTTTATGGTTTATCATAAAGATTTAGAGATATATTTAAAATTAAATTTTGGTTGTAACAGAATGGAAACACACAGAGATAGTTAATAATAGAACAAAAGCAACCGCCCAAAAGATCTTATTATAGAACTTCCTACAGATGCTAATTCGTTTTTCTTCTCAAACTGGAAATGCTCAAGTGGTGATCTTCAAGAAGCCATACTTAGAAAATTTGCAGTCTTTGTAGTGATTGGAAATAATAATTATAATTTTTTTTCAAAGCATTGTTTTCTTCTGTCAAAAAAGTCACTGCCCATGCACAATGGGAGATACTGACTAAATGGCTCAAAGTTACTTGGTTCAGTGGTTAGAACAGTGGTTCTCAACCTGTGGGTCCCCAGATGTTTTGGCTTTCAACTCCCAGAAATCCTAACAGCTGGTTAACTGTCTGGGATTTCTGGGAATTGTAGGCCAAAACACCTGGGGACCCACAGGTTGAGAACCACTGGGTTAGAATTTATTAAAGAGCCACTGTCAGTATAGTAGCCTCAAAGCAAGTAAGTCTGCTAGGAACTAGGTTCAGAATGCAAGATACTCTTCTAATACAGCTAGCATTTAGCCCCATTAGTCAGTTACCCTTTGATATTACCTTGTTCACAGGAACATCTTCATTCATTGGAACTGGTATAGGTTTCATATTAACATCAACAGTGCTGTACTCCGGAAGAGCGTCTCGTAAATACATCAGGTTATCATCCAATCTTTTCTCTAGTTTCAGAACCTTGATTTCTTGAATTAAAGGGTTGTACAGTTCATAGCAAATTTCAATACCTGAAACAAAAAGGTGTTTTTTTATAGTAAGTATTGCTTTTGTATCAGAGAATGAATTTATTAAAGTGGATAACAGCAATAGCTGTTGTAGGACAACTTTGCCTGGAGAAAGAAATCTGGAGCTATACAAATTTTGGCAAGAAGACTGAAATTATAAATAAGTAGCTAACTCTATATGAAAAAGTTGACTGCACACCAGCTAACAGATTAGGCTTTCCATAGAATTTATTTATAATGGTCTACACCAGGGATCCTCAAACTTTTTAAACAGAGGGCCAGGTCATAGTCCCTCAAACTGTTTGTTTGTTTGTTTATTTAATATATTTATATCCCGCCCTTCTCCCCACAAGGGGGACTCAGCGCGGCCTCACATGAGCATCAGAGGATGCTAACATGTTGGAGGGCCAGATTATAATTTGAGAAAAAAAAAACAATGAATTATAATGCACATTGCACATATCTTTTTTGTAGCACAAAACACCCAAAAACAATACAATAATTAAAATCAAGAACAATTTTAAGAAATATAAACTTATTAGTATTTCAATGGGAAGTGTGGACCTGCATTTAGCTCATGAGATAGGATTGTTGTTGTTGTTACGTGCTTTCAAGTGGTTTCAGAATTAGGGTGTCCCTGAGCGAGGGCCAGGTAAATGACCTTGGAGGGCCGTATCCTGGTCCCCGGGCCTTAGTTTGAGGACCCCTGGTCTACACTTTTAATTGAATGCTTAAATATTCAGATCTGTGCTCAACACAAACTTGATATAAATAGAATCATTCAATCACAACATCTAACTTATTTGCATAAACGAGAATGACTTCAGATTGTAGTAATCTGAAATGTATTTCTATCATGGCTACATAATGTACCTACAGAGCAACTTGAGTCAATGTTACTTTCCTCTGCCCATAAATGAAAGCCACTTAGTCAAACAACATGTACCTACCCTGTCCTTCTATTACATTTCGAAGTATGAAGGTTCCACCAAGTCCTTTTCCTGATCGCTGAACACAAATTCCTACAAAAGTGCTGGTCTTTCCATTGGCATAGGGATCTGCTGCAGTAACAGCAAGTATGCTTCCTGCAAGAAATAAAGAAAAACTATGCAATATTGAGAAAAACATTTGAAGATCAGACCCAGCAAGGTTAATTCTCCTTAAGTAGAACTCCAAGAAAGTAATCTGGGCTCACAGTGATATTTTATCATTGTTTATCACGCTGCTGCTTTGTCATGAGACCAGTGATCATGCCCACTTCAAATTATGAGTTATGTTTTGTTAAGCATGTATTGGAACTGCAGCTGAAATATAGTATTACATCCATCTGCTCAATTTGAATTAGCAATTAATCTTAAATACCTTGTGATCTGGAATATTCTACTTTGGTTTGAGTCCTTAAACCAATTTGTGTAACAGTAATAAAAAGTGTCAACATGTTTCATTTCTTCCAGAGCATAAGAACAACAGATTCAAATTACAAGAAAGCATATTTTAATTAAGCATTAGAAAGAACTGCTGTTCGGTGGTGAAAAGATTCCCTCAGACGGTAGTTCTCAACCTGGGGTCCCAGATGTTTTTGGCCTACAACTCCCAGAAATCCCAGCCAGTTTACCAGCAGTTAGGATTTCTGGGAGTTGAAGGCCAAAAACATCTGGGGACCCCAGGTTGAGAACCACTGCTCAAGTGTTGGGCTTTTCTACTTTATGGAAGATTTTAAACACGTTGGATGCCAACCTCTCAGAGGTACTTTAGTGGTAGATTCCTGAGCTCACAAGAGATTAAACTAGATTGCCCTGGGGTCCTTTCCAACTTTAGCACCGGGATAGTGGCACAGCTGGCTGGGTGTCAGCTGCATTAAGATCACTACTGACTGTTCATGAGTTCGAAGCCAGCCCAGGTCGGAGTGAGCTTCCAGCCAATTTGTGTAGCTTGTTGTCGACCTTTGCAACCCGAAAGACAGTTGCATCTGTCAAGTAGGAAATTTAGGTACCACCTATGTGTGGGGAGGCTAATTTAACAAATTTACAAGGCCATAAAAAATCTCCAGCAAAAGCATGCGGGGAATGTGGAAAGTACTTCATCAGTGTCGCAGATGGACGGTGAACCGACAGCTCCCCTGGTGGCCAGAAAATTGGGATGTTAAATAGCCTCTGACTGTCTGTCTATATGTGTTGTGTGTCTATGGCATTGAATGTTTGCCATGTATGTGTACATTGTAATCCGCCCTGAATCCCCTGCGGGGTGAGAAGGGCGGACTATAAATACTGTAAATAAAAATAAATAAATTTATCATTCTAGTGTTCACTATTTTAAAATCTATCAGTATTTTAGGTCTGTTTATTTGTGATTATATTTAAATTAATATATTCATATTGATATGTCCAAACCAATTCCAAATAATGAGTTGTAATTGGCCTAGAATACCAATGCAGAAAGGGCAGGCTACATATTATAAAATTAAAATAACTTGAGCAACATCAGTGAAAAGTTTTGCATGTGTGCTTTTGGTATGAATATACTGAAAATGAACCTGTTTTAGAATTACATCCAATTTGATAACGTAATGTATTAATCCAAAGTAACATAACTTTCTCCTGGAGGATTGGGGGCCCTTCCACACAGCCATATAACCCAGAATATTAAGGCAGAAAATCCCACAATATCTGCTTTGAACTGGGTTATTGGAGTCCACACTGCCATATATTCCAGTTCAAAGCAGATAATGTAGGATTTTATTCAGCTGGGTGGAAGGGGCCTTGGAAAGTACTATATTGATTTATAGTACAAATTGCCAAGTCTGGAATACTGTGGACTCAACATTTGTTTTAGGGTATTTGGGAATTTCTCTTATTCAAGGTACATTGACACTACTATCAAATTCACTCCAATTTTTGTGATATATATATATACAGAGAACCAGTCAGGTTGAGTGGTTTGAATACTGGACTATGATTCTGGAGATCTGCTCAGCCTTCAAAACCTATGGGGTAAACTTGGGCAAGCCATACTCTCCCTGCCTCAGATGAACGCAAAGGCCCCCTCTGAACAAATCTTGCTGGAAAAAAACCCCAGAGATAGATTTCCCTTAGGGTTGCCATAAGTTGGGAGTCAGTTGAAGGCACACAACCACCACCATTCTATGAAAGGCTACTGACCAGCATAGAATTCTGGAATATTCATTACTTTCCTCCTTTGCACCATGTCTCTCCTTTCAATGTGGAATTTCAAAGGATTATATCTCCCCCGAGGAGGGATAAATTCAGGACTGAGAAACCTGTCAAACACAAAAAGAGATTGGTAAAAATGGAAACACTGTTTTATATGAAAGAAATGTGGCATAACTAAATGTGAAATAAAAATAATTTTACTTTCTGTCTGTTGCACGAAGTTTTGACTCATCCACAATGACTGGTTTTGGAGGCGGCTTAAATTTTGTTGGTTTTTCATCATTAGAGCTGAGGCGTTCAAAAGAAAGAGAAAGGCACCCTTCAAAAGAAAAGCCTGCGTTAATAC